ATTAAATAACGAAACGAAAAGAAATCGAAAATAAAATAGTAAAACTACAATGTTAATTTTATAGTTAATATGATTGATTGAAAAAAATGATTAGATTAAATTAATCTTTTCCCTAACTTTGTATTTGATATATTCTGATCCAGAAATTTTTGGATGAAATTAGCATTTATATTTATTGTATATTTGATAGGACAATAAAAATTAATGTCAGTAATTTTTTTTAATTCATATATTTCATTAGAAATTTAACTTACTTGAAAAATTATATATGGTAAAATGAATATTTGTTTTTCTTTAAAAATACCATATGCTAAAGTACCAAAAATAGAAAATGCAAAAGCGAATGATGCAATCGAATAGAATGCTAAAGTAGCACCTTGCGAACATGCGGTAAGAAATACAATAAATACCGCACCGCAAAGATAAACAATGGAAATAATCCGAGCTGCTAACTGTAAAAGTTTTATTAATTATTAATTTCAATCATACATCAGCGGTAAATTTTTTAAACAAGAAAAGGAGTGATGTATATTCAAATAATTTATTCATTAATTCATATAAATGTTATCAGAATTTTAATTTAAATTATTTTTACAATTGTAATTATATTGAGCAAATGCTTTAAACTTTTCTTGAATTGTCAGTTTTATGTTTTAAAATTTTGAAATAACAAATTAAAAGAATGCGATTATTATCTTACTAATATTGTATATTGTATGTTGCAAACAGTTGAATGGATAAAATAATTCGCAACAAAAAAGTTAAAAATATGTATTAAATTGTTTTTATCGCTTACATATAGTGATTGTTTTTTTTATTGATAATTTTAATTTGAATATAAAATTTAAACTAACTGTAATATGCATATAGCCATGGCAACATTGATATTTGACGTCGTTATGGTCAAAATTAGTTTCATGACTGGCGGTACCATATGAGGTAAACGATGGTATTAAAATTGGTGATGCATTAATTGGTGTTATCGGTATCACATATTGCGGTGAAATTGGTTCATTTGGTAGCTCCACGTTTTCGCCCGTTTCTTGCGATTCTTCTAATGTTACTAATGATGATAATGTTATGGATGATGATAACATTATTGGTATAAGCAGATGCTTTTCGTCTCAAAACGTCGCTTAAAATGGGCGTGCAAGCGCAAATAGCTTTAACTTACCAATCGTGATTTAAACAAAAATATTGAGCA